GCAATTTGGCTGTCTGGGTGCTCGCTTATATCTGCTAACTGGCCTGGCCTGTTGTGGCACATGCCATACGCCGTCAGTTCATTGAGTTTATTATTGTTAGGAGAGACCCAACGGCTAGCATATAGGCAGCAAGTAGCCGCGTCCATAATAGGCTATCGATCGGCCTACATGCGAGCAAACGCATCGTGCTAGAAAATCAATCAATAATTTGAAATTTTAGCTACATTCAGTCGCTGAATCAGTAGCCAATCCAACCGGCAACTACGTCAAGATAGGAGCTGATTGGCTCGATGGACGTCGTATTACACGCGTTTGTTGTCCTAAATACGTTGTACCTCTTACACTTAAAAACTTCTGCTGTTGCACACTTCTTATCGTGTTCTTCCTTTGGGTACTCACACAAGGCGTTATTGGGTGGTGATATCTCGGCCTGGGCTTCCGTTACAAAAAATAATTCCGTAACACCCACTCTCTTGAAAGGTGGAACTCATATCTCTTCCTCCTGAGGTCCACGATGCGTTTTTCGACGGTTGCATTTTTATGTGACTCCAGCGGACGTGAGGTGGTTTCGCCTCTGGGAATCTGGACCTCAAAGGTGTCACATAGCAAATCAAGGGCCATTTGACCATCCGTGATGCACCTGAGTCGAAGCTTATTTACATACCATTCAATTCTCCCCCTTGATTTTTCCAATTCGAAGACATGGTAGTCAACCCACTCCACGCGTACACTGGTGGCTGTTAGCAAGTGCGCATGCACCATGGTCTCGCTACGTTAATCCTTGCCAATCACCGTCGAGGCTGACTCACACAGGACCTCATTGTGATGAATGCCACGCCCAAACACTTCGGACGCTGCCTATCCCTCATGCAGACGCATACTCGTCCAACTGTCATCTTCTTCCAACCTATTCTCCGCTACCTTTTTAGAAAATATGCTATTGCTTCCAGTTGTCGTCTAACTTCTTCGCTTTCCACATGGAACCTGAACTGGAGATCGCGGCGAAAATGGTTTTTCCTACTAACTTAAGGCACTGCAATAACCACACTTCTCGAATTCCTGACAGTGCTCTTCTGCTACTAGATACTGTAGTTGTACCATTAACATCACCAACGCGGGTACTCTCGTCTTCACACAGTACATTATGCTACGAAATCTGCACTCAGTTCCTACCTGTTTCAAGCTTCTTGACCTCTCCCTCTTTTGCGTAAGTAATCAAGAAGATTTAAAGCAAAGCTTCACGGGTGCAAATTAGTAGATTGCAAAGCAGCAGGATTTATTAAATCCATGAAATTTCCGGAATGATCACCAATTGCGTCCATTCCATTGCATGGCGAGAATAACGAATGAGAAAAATACAAAATTGAATCGGTACAAAAAGGTCAAAAAGGTCATAGGACAGTTTACGAAGGATAATTTGTGAAGTTTGAGTTTTGAAACGAGGTGGAAAGAAAAACAGATGAAAAGGAGTTAGGGCGAAAAGGTACGTAGGGGACTGTGTAAATCTGGGAGTCAGTTTTTACCAAGGCAAAGCTAGGTTAACTACGTGCTCCAACTTTTTACATAGGTCAGGTTTTGACCGCTGCATGTAGGCTGCCTCTAGGT